ATGCGGATTCGAACCCGCGACCCTCAGATTGTGAGTCGAGCGCCTTATCCACCTGGCCATGCCGGACCTCCACAGTCTGGCAAGCTTATCAATGGGCCGCACTCTGTTTATAAAATGATAAAAACATTCCAAAACAACATACATAAGTATACAATGAACAAGCTAATATATGTTCAGACTCTATAATTGCGCCACATTAGTAGCTATATTTTGACAGGCCTGCAGCAATAAACGTTTTATATATTATATAAAAGAGAGAATAATACAGGTACAAAAATTATTGTGCTTTTGTGCAACAATAAGTTGACACCCCTGGAGTTCTACAAAATAATTTCAAACACACTTGGTGAAAAGAGCCAGCAAATGAAATATTGATTCCTTTACAACTAGAAACTAAAATCGCATTAACGAATCAGGACGGAGCTTGAAGTTGAGACGCGTTGAAGAGTGGGAGGAAGCTACCCAACAAAGACAAACGGTATTGGTAAATATGAAGTAATCAATTTTAAAAATACGATTTCTTAAGGTAGAACTCACATAAAATGAAGTATAAGGCGATTTAATGACAGTGTCTTGAACGACAAAGTGAAAGCTGTGTAAACTGAACTTTAAAAATAAAAACACTTTGATCATTGAGAAGATGCAATCCTACTTTTATAATTGCGTAACTGCTCCGAACGGGCGTTGGTCTCGGAACACAGGGATAGGAAGTCTAAGAATTGCTGCCGATCAGGTAGGTTTGTCATATAGTGCGTTTATAGTTCATGAGCGTTGCAGAAATAAAACAAAAAAATTGCAAGCCAGTAATCAAGTGTGTACACTTTTATATGTAGTTTTAGATCAAATTTAACTCTAACAATCTAACTTACTGTAATGAATCATACATAATTACACACAAGTATTTGTTAACTATACTGAATACCTAGCGAATTAATCCTTATAAAAACACTTCATGGACTACGAATACAATACAGCTTATTTAGTTATTAATGTTCTAGAAAGGCATACATGCATTTGGAGTCCATGAATAATAATAGTAAAGATTCCTCGTTTTAGAACGGCCCAGCATGGCCAGGTGGTTAGGGCGCTCGACTCGCAATCTGAGGGTCGCGGTTCGAATCCTCCTCCCACCAAACATGCTCGCCCTTTCAGCCGTGGGGGCGTTATAATGTGACGGTCAATCCCACTATTTGTTGGTAAAAGAATAGCCCAAGAGCTGGCGGTGGGTGGTGATAACTAGCTGCCTTCCCTCTAGTCTTACACTGCTAAATTAGGGACGGCTAGCGAAGATAGCCCTCGTGTAGCTTTGCGCGAAATTCAAAATAAACAAACAAACAAACAATCATTGTTTTAGGTCTTACGGTGGTTCAGCTGTAAGTCTGAGGGCTTATAACGCTAAATATCGGGTTCGATACATGTGTTGGGAATAGCACAGATAGTCTCGTGTAGTTTTGTGCTTAAGAACAAATAAAAACTTTATTTTAGTTTATAGTCATCTTGTTCACTTACCTTAGCTTTTCTTACCTTCGTCTTCTTTGTGAACAGTTGAGATAAATATTATTACTTTATCAATATCTTTAACACTTTTGGAGAGGACGTAGCCTAGTGATTATTGTGGTGAGATTGTGAATCCAAGAATTAACGGTATATGTCTTGTTGTCTCAAAAACGCGCTCCTCACTTCCGGGCCATGAATGCGCTATAAGAGTGATAGTCATATCTCACTATTCGGTCAGATTAGAGTTGCCGGTGGGTGTTGTTGACTAGGTAGCTGCTGTCACTCTAGTCTCACTGATAGCCCTTGTGAATCTTTGTTTGAAACTCTGAATCTGAAATCTGAAAATGTTAACTACTAATAGATATTTAGTGGAATCGATCTGAAATTCGAAAATGTTAACTACTAATAGGTATTTAGTGGAATCGATCTGAAATCTGAAATGTTAACTACTAATAGGTATCTAGTGGAATCGATCTGAAATGTGAAATGTTAACTACTAATAGGTAGCTTACTAATCTCGATTAGTGGATCCCAACTGCTGGTCATTAGATATGTTTTTGCCAATCTGCAGTAACATCCAGTGAATAAGAGTGAGAGAGAAGTATAACAATGACAACTAAAATATGCAAAATTCTTTCTAAATAAATATGCATATCATTAAACTCTATATCTTATACTCCTAATGGTCTGTAATATTTTCCTGGCCCGTGGGGTGAAAAATATTGGGAGCTAGAGGAGTTTAGGCTATTCTGGATAATTTTATCAATAAAGTCGTACACTCAGTGGGTTTTGTTTTAGGTTAAAGTCAATAGATAAATTTTAACCTGTGTCACACAACCCACACAAGTTTATATGATTTAGTCATAATGTAAAGAACAATTTGTAAAATATGGTACAATTATGACACTTATGTTTCTATACGCTTTAGTTTGAATTTTCATATCTTTTATTTATAACTAGTAGAACATATTATATGTTAAAGTATTCATTATTTAGTTTTACGCGTTTTAGCTGCAATTAACAGAACAATTTATAAGTTATGTTAAAAATATCTAAGAATCCGTTTATGTGTTTTGGTTATAACCAACCGAACGTGATATAAGCTATCTTAAAAATATCCGATAGTTGGTTTACTATTTTTGAGTTGTGATCATTTAAATAACTTGTTGAATATATTTAGTCTCTTCTGCTGTTGTTTTACATTTTATTTGCAGTTAATACAAATTTAGTCCCGCGTGGTTCAGCGATAAACTTGAAAGCTTCTAACGCTAGATATCGAGGGTCGATCCCTGCCGGAGAGCACAGCGAGCTCACTGTATAGCTTTTCTTTAAAACAAAGCTAAGAAACAAGCAATAAAACCTTATATAAGATGTATTGAAGTAACAAAACTGGTTTGTTGAAGGATCATAGACTAAAGACTTTGAAAATATAGCATAACAATGTTTAAGATGTACTTCTGTTTTGTTTGTAAGTTCAATACACTTTCTGTTAGAAGTTCTCATTTGACGAGTAAACCAGGCTGCTGGTGTAAAATTCAACAAGAACCCGCCATATTTCGAGAGGCTTATTCTCAAAAACAAATGAATACTTACTTTTTGAACACAAAAATACGGTACCCTATAAAATTTAATTAATTTCTTGAACCTACATGTTTTTCTAACATCATGAATACTTTTTGAGTACTATTTTTGTTAGTTATATATATGTGCAGTTTCACTTTAGCTAATTAAGTTTTAATCTACTTCACAGTACTTGCCATATGTTCGAGTCAGTGAAACTGAGGACACCGTACAACTGTGTGGACCAATGGCTAACCTGCTGGATATGCTGTCTACATACGTACCCTTTCGGTTCGTCTAATCGCACTGTCATAGTTTTAAGTAATTATTGGCCTCAGAGAGTGTACTGGTTATAATACATTAAATTATAGACATTATATTTTTCGTTCAATGCGGTTAACATGCTATTCAGACTAAAACTAACGTGGTTCAGGGAAATGTAATTAGGGAAATATTTTACACAGGATAGTTTCTATAAAAGACAAATGATAAAAATATTACATTATATGTTTATCAATGGCAATGTTTTTACATTTTCTAATCATAACTAGTTATATAATCATAATTAGTTATGTTAATAATTATCAACCTGACTTGGTCTGGTGTTTAGGGGCACTGGCCTCGCGAGTTTGACTCCTGTCACCGAACACGCTGTTCCCCGGTGGGACAGCGGTAAGTTTACGAGCTTACAAAGCTAAAATTCGGGGTTCGATTCCTCGCGGTGAACACAGCCGATAGTCTAATGTGGCTTTCCTCCAAATAACAAACAAACAAACTGAATATGCTCGCCCTTTCAGCCGCGGGAGGTGTTATAATGTAGGTGTCAATACCATATTCGTTGTTAAAGTGTAGCCCAAGTGTTGTCGGGTGGGTGATGTTGACTAGCTGACTTCCCTCTAGTCTATTACTTAAAAATAAAAATTAGGGACGAGTAGCTATGCGGGAATTTCAACAAACAAACAAAAACTAATAATTAGACAAAAGTCGACAAAACTAATAATTCTACTTAAGATAATCACACAATATTTGCGAACTATATATATATATATATATATATAAAGGCACTAAGCATTATTATAACACAAAATTCCTACTTGTTCACTGAAATGTTTTCAACAAAGTACAATAGATCCCAACAAATTACTTCTGCGGGTCCTTTTTCAAATTATTCAAAATCTTCATTACTTTAAATTTCAAATTTCAAAGATTAGGTTTTACAAGGCTAGTGGTGGGTGTAACCTAATGCTTTTCTGCTCAAACTGTGAACCTAAGGTTTATGGTTCGCGAATTATTCCACCAAAAAAGGTGCATTTTTGGGGCCACGGGTGCGCTATAAATCCCTCTATTCGATTTGACAAGAGTACTAGAAACCGGGTATCGATACCCGTGGTAGGCAGAGCACAGATAGCCCTTGTGTAGCTTTGTGCGTAATTAAAAACAAACAAATAAACAGACAAGAGTAAACACAAGATTTGGCGGTGGTTGTTATTGTCTATCTACTCCACGTCCATTAGTTTTAAGTTAGGCACAGATAACACTTGTGTAGCTTTATGTGAAGTTTGAGCCAAAAAAAACTCCCAAAACAAAAGTATCTTACAGGGTTTATTTGGCTCTCAGCTGAAGTTTATCTACAAGGATGACCCCCAGTGGTTTATAATGCTAAAAATCGGGTTTCGATATCCGTGGTGGGTACAGTTCACATAGCTCATTGTGTATCTTTGTGCTTAACTACGAACAAACAATCCACAAGGATGTGTTAATAACGAAAATAATTGAAATCCAAGTAACTTTTAATCTATTATTGAAGCAGTTCTATATGTTTAGAATGGTAACATACTTTAAAAACCAAAATAACCAAGTAAACTGACAACAACAACAAAATGTGTCACATTTCAGATTTCCAAATTTTTGAGCTCAGTTTATATGGGTGATAATAAACATGCCAGTGTGTTTCATATATATTAAGAATCATGTCAAGTTCACTAAAACTTGCAAACTTTTGGAAACGTTTTTATTATTAAGAAGTGTGGCATTGAGTCGTTAGCATTTCTTCAAAGTTAAACCAATTAATCAAAAGGAATCGCCTTTTTTGTTGTAACGAAGAGCTACACATTTGCCTATCTGCGCTCAGTCCACAGCGGGAAATCGAACCCCAGATTTTAGTCTTGTAAGTCCGTAAACTTACCGCTGCCCCGTGGGGGGGGGGGGGGAGGACTAATTAAAAGGAATTAATGAGAAAAAGATTATGACGTTTATGACCGAATGACTTAGCAGACAATTTTTTCATCTTTGTGACTTTGTCAAATGTGCTTTTAATCATCAAACGGATCAATATTTGTGACGAAGTTTACAGTGGTTTTACATTTTCCTTACTCATGTAAGTTTTTACAGTTATATATTACATTTAACAGTGCAAAAATTAATGATGCAACAATGTCAAAGTTAAATGTAACCTTCTAGAGCCCTTCATATACATTGGTAATAGATATTCAATGAATATGATATTATTATGTTTATCGGCTTCATTCAATAGTAATGTCATTAAAGCAGAAGCTTAAGAGAATGCACAGGAAAGGTATAATTTATTCTACTATTTTGTACAGATATGCGATCTATATTCCTTCTGATCATAAGTGGGGAATACGTTCGGAAAATGGAACATGGAATGGTATGGTAGGGATGCTTCAACGTGAGGTAAGATTATGTATTAAATTATATTGTCCCTAGAATGGAGTCAATTTTTTCCTAAACTATTTACGTACCAAATTGCTACTGAACCCATAATTTTGTTAATTACAGGGTCCGTAATAGCATGAGTCACACAAAAACATTTAAACAAATATGTCTTCAATATTATAATTTAATCCACTAATTACATGGAGCCTAAAATCGGTCATTTTAAGGTTAAGCTTTTTTCAATTTTGGAAAGAATCAAGTTGGAAGTTGTACAGTAAAGGAACTAATTTATGGAAACATACAATGATATAAATATAGGAGTTATAACACAAGGTTTAATGGCAACTAGGTGGGGAACCTATTAAACGTTACACACATTATCACAGAAAACATAAAATAAGTGCAATCAGTTGAACAGTGTACTTGTATTTTATGGTTCGTGAATCATTTGTACAGTGCACTTGTATTTTGTGGTTCGTGAATCAGTTGTACAGTGCATTTGTTTCTTGTGGTTCGTGAATCATTTGTACACTGCACTTGTTTAGTGGATGTGTGAACACAAGTGCTCATTATTTAGTGGATGTGTGAACACAAATGCTCAAATGTCTTATATTTGTGAAATGATAATAATAATACCGTTATCCAAAGGGTGCGTAAGTAGATATCTTAATGGAGTTAGATTTGAAAACAAAGTTGCTATGAACTTCAAGTATTACAGTTCCGAAGTAGAAAACTAAACAAAACATTAAGAACTCTAAACTCAAGATTTTAAAGAAACGTAGTTAAAACGGTTTTACTGAACAGAAAAACTGAATTAAAATAGATCATGTTTCGCAAGTTTGACTTTTTGCCAGTTAAAGAAATGAACAAAGCGTGAAAAAAGCAAAATATATCACTTACCAGAACTTTCACTGTTAATTGTGGTCAATTCTTAAAACCAAATACACACTATTTTTTTTTGAATTTTGCGCAAACCTACTCGAGGGCTACTTGCGCCAGCTGTCCCAAGTTTAGAAGTGATAGACTAGAGGGAAGGCAGTTGGTCAACACCACCCACTGCTAACTCTCGGGCTACTCTTTTACCAATGAAAAGTGGGATTGACCGTTAGATTATAACGTCATCACAGCTGAAATGGCGAGTAATGTCGTTATTAGTATCCAAAGCGCATTATAGGTTCTTAGTGTATAACAGAACAACCTAAATATTATACCAAAAAAACGTAACTGAAAAGGCTGTCTTTCAAACTAAATCATAATAACAATAATTTCAGTAATATGCTTTAGAAGATTTTTCAATCGTCTAAATATTTAAAACCAAACTTTTCATTTTGAAACCCTTAAATATTAATTAAAATGTTTGAAAAATGCTCAAAGTTCAACGTAAGGTATTTAGGTTTTTGAGGTTGAATATTTTTGTTTTATCAGTTCATTAAAAGTTCTTTTCAGGAAGTTGACCTAGCACTCGGTCCTTTTACCGTTACATACGAGCGGAATGAAATCATTACCTTCAGCTATCCCTTGCTGATGGATTCGGTTGTTATCCTTACAAACAGATTTGAAGAAAGGCATCCAGTTTTTCAATATTTTTTAGCCCTAGACTGGCAGGTATGTTTTAAATAGTTAAAGGCTGTTAATAGTTCGTGCCACTTTGTAATTAAAGGCGGTTTTGTCAAATGCTTTAGACATATATTTATACAAAACTCAGCTGCATTAATACAAAGTACATTCTTTTACAAAATAAACAAACGTAAATATTATAAAACAATTTTTGTTATGTATACCGTGTATCTGAAATAGAAAATGTGTTGTTGCATATTAAAATCTGTAGAATGACTATGTTTAACTTACTTGTAAAATTAAGCGATCTTAAGATATATCAAATGAACAAATAGAAAACAGAGTAAATGATGCTTTTTAATGCTGTCCAGCAAACGTTTTAGTGTTACTAACAAGTTATAAGTCTTTATAGTAGTAATAGTAGTATTTAAAGTTTTTATAACATGGAATGTAGAAGGAAAAGAACTTAACGTATTATTTTGTGACATCATCAGCATGAAAAGCTGCATAGGACTGTATTTCAAAATCGTGTGATGTATATAGATATATAAAAATGTAAATCATTGACTCTAATCAAACTATTTTTTATTTTGAATTTCGCCAGGTATGGATGGCGCTTTTTATTGCCCTGCTAATAGTAGCTATTATTGACGCCATCTTGAATGTCTTCACGAAACAATCAAAATCGTTTTACACCCAACTAGCAAACTCTATATGGAATTTTGTAACGTGTCTTCTTCAACAAGGTATGAAAATACGATTTTACAACAACTTTTCAAAACCATTGTATTTCAGTTTGTTTGTTTGGAATTTCGCGCAAAGCTACACGAGGGCTATCTGCGTTAGCCGTCCCTAATTTAGCAGTGTAAGGCTAGAGGGAAGGCAGCTAGTCATCACCACCCATCACCATCTCTTGGGCCACTCTTTTACCAAAGAATAGTGGGATTAACCGTCACATAATAATGCTCCCACGGCTGAAAGGGCGAGTATGCTCATATATTTTCTTGCGTATGACAGTTATCTTCAATTTTATTATTACTATTCATATCTCATCGCCAGCGTTCTAATTGGTTAGCTCTAAATACGTAAAACTTTTGTCTGGATAGAACTTTCTTATTACGGTCAACAAGTAAATAATACTGCACTGGCACATTGTTGTCTCCTTATTCAGGTTGTCCTCCAGTGCCACAGCGGTATGTCTGCGGACGTACAACGCTAGAAACCGGGTTTCGATACCCTTGGTGAGCATAGCACAGATAGCCCATTGTGTAGCTTTGTGCTTAATTAAAAAAAACTAGTCAAGTTGTTTATCTGCAAAAAAAAAAGCACACTGAATGTGATTTAACATGAAAGCAACAAGTAATGTTCTGTCCATTAATACTAAATAAACTAAATTAAAGTTAATTAGTATTACCGAAGACTTAACGACTGAGTTTTTGAAGCTATAGATCAGTAATATAATATTTAGAAATATTCTGATCAGATAAATCGAGATATTCATAACCGTGAATATGGAAATACTGCTAAGACGTACTATATTATAGAGTTAACAAAATTAAAGTTATCCATGAGACCATTTTATAAATCGATCCGCTTCGTGTCTAGTGGACAGTGCATGTCTGGCCATTTAACATACATGTTCATTTGACTATAAAGCTAGTTCATGCTTATTTTGTTGTTGTATTCAGGGCCAGAGTCAACTCCACGAAAGATGTGGAACAGGTTTTTATTCGGTGCCTGGTGGCTGGTAGTTATGGTGGTGTTTTCAGCTTTTGGAGGGCAGCTGAGGGCTTTGTTGTTATTTAAGAGCTCCAATCTTTTAATTGACAACCTGGAAGAGTTGGTAGAGACCCCTGATCTACAGCCACTGATTCTGGACGGAGGATCTTTTCATGACGTTCTACAGGTATTTTGTAATAAGGCATGATGACCACAGCTACAAGAGTTGCTTTTTTATTCTCTCCCATTTTGTACACGTTTTAGATTGGAAACCATTGTTGTCCCCAGCCAGCTAAGATCTAGTATTGATTGGAAACCATTGTTGTTCCCAGCCAGCTAAGATCTAGTATTGATTGGAAACCATTGTTGTCCCCAGCCAGCTAAGATCTAGTATAGATTGGAAACCATTGTTGTCCCCAGCCAGCTAAGATCTAGTATTGAATGGAAACTATTGTTGTTAATGGTTTACGAAATACAAAAGGCTGAATAAAACCTGGGCTGGCTTCCTGTTGGTTGGACACTTCGAGTTCCTGGTGATTTAAAACACAAAATGTAAAAACGTTGCAACAAACCACTGGAATACAAACCTGAAACTCAATTTACAGGCCTTTCTCAAATCTTGATAAAAACAAAAACAAAAAAAGCGCTTGGTATATATTTCAAAACTTCGCATCGAAAGCATAGTGTTTAATTCCGTTGATTTAAAATTAATTTATATGGTAGACTTAAAGAAAATATTCCATTTAAAAAACGTTTACCCGTATTAAGATATTAAGTATCTAAGACGGAATCTTAAGAAAATTAGGGAAAAATACCGTTATTTCTGAAAATATATTTTGCTATGCAACGAATTTCCGATGAAATGCTACATGTAAGGTTTTAAGCTATCATACACCTGATTTCAGTTTCTGAAATTATCTGATGACTACTTAGCTGCTTTTACGAACAGAATGACGAATATCATGACTGTATCTATTGCTTTAAAGAGTTTTTAGGCTTGGAAGTTGTTGCTCATATATATAATATTTCTGTATCTCTATACCTTGTTGGTTGAAATTCTGTAAAATATCTATCACAGTATTTATACATTTATACATCTTGTCTACATTTATTGTAAGCACCATATACTTTGTTCATGTCATTATTATTTCTAAGATCAATAATATCTTAGTAGTTTATTATGTAGCTTATAATTCACGAAAAAGTAAGTGTATTTTATACAATGAAGACCCAAGTTATACAAACATAATAGTTTCTGACGTAATTGCAAATTAATTCTGAACCTATATAAACCACATGTTAAAGCAGGCTTACATCCACGAGTAAAATTCTAACAAGTTTTCTGTTAACAACGTATACTTAAACTGCCAAAAAAAGCCTCTACGTTTTGTTTTGGGAATATTTTTTTTAAAGAAAAAGCCACAAAACTATACGAGTTTCATGTTTATATATATATTTGTTTTACTAAGTTATTGTTGTTTAGAAGAAGGTAATTCAAAATTAGGAAAGTATACGTAGAAAAGCCTAAGCGCAATAAAGTAGTGCTGAAAATTTCAAATTAACGAAAAACACACGCAATGGGCATTGCATTTTAAAATGTGTACTATTTCGCGCACTCGTACAATAAACATTTAATATTGTGCTTCGAATTACCAAAGGTGCCACGCGGTACAGAATTCGTACAATACGTTTTTGCCTTGCAAGTGTGAGTAAAGAAATTAACATCGTGAAAAACACTAGAACCAATAAAAGTCATATCTAAGCGTATTTATTTAAAACTATCGTTCGTCGCTCCCGCTAATGCATAAAAACTGAATAACTCCAGCATGGTTTTAATTGCATCATTCAGTTCAATACTCGTAATAGTTTAAGAATAAACATAAAGTTGAAATTACATGAACATTTTGTTACATCGTTCAGTTCAGTACTCTTAATAGTTTAGGAATAAACATAAAGTTAAAGTTTCTTGAACATAGCAACACCATTCAGTTCAATACTCGTAATAGTTTAAGAATAAACATAAAGTTGAAATTACATGAACATTTTGCTTTAATAACGTGAAGAAATTACATCATGCGAGAAACATGCAAGAACTATTTGACTTTCTATTTGGACAGAACTATTGTTTTAGTGGCTGTCGTAGCTAGTAGGTCAGTGTGTAGTGCCCACCTTATTCCTTCTATCTAAGGACAGGCATACTATATATAAAATGTTTAACTTAGCTACACATTTTTCATTGAATAGCAACCGTACAAATTATACTGTTTTGTGTTTTATTTTGTAGAGAAGCAGCGAGGGTACTTTGACTAGGAGATTGTTGATAAGGATTGAACAAGGCCATGGTCTTCTGACCCATTCCCAACTGCTCTCAGATTCGGTCTTGGACTCAGTTGAGAGAGGAAGCCACGCTGTTATGACGAACTTAGATGCCATTCGTTCTAGTTTATCACAAAGAGCCTCTACGAAAAACAGTTGCAAGGCCTATATTGTTGATGAGATAATTTTTAACCAAGCTTACGCAGTCGCATTTTCAAAAAAGCTGAATAGAACACTTGTGGAGAAATTCAACAAACTGTAATTATTTTGAGTATTATTTAATGATAATGATTACGCATGCTTCGAAAAAACTGAACAAACCCATATAATAATTGAGAAACAGGGGAGGCGATAGCCCATTGGGGCCCTAAGCAGGCATGTTTTTGGACTTCTCACCCACTCTATAAAAGAACTAATTGCAATATTTCCATAAACCAAAAATAAACTAACGCCACACATTATAACATTCTTGTTGAAAAGTCATTTCTAACCACACATTAAAACCACTGTCTCCACATCTTTCCCAAACCATGCACACTGCATGTGTGTGTATTGTATTTAGTAACCAATTAGTGCACCAAAACCTCCATGAATACCTGACTGAGAAGGGTCTTGCTGCTGCAATTTTCAAACGAACATTCGTTATTGAGTGAATGGATTTTCGATCGTTTCATTGAAAACTGCTCCACGAGAGAGTTGATGGATAGGACAAACAAAAAAGAATAACTACCAACAAAGTAAAACCTTAAGCGATAGTTGCAGATCACACGCAGGATAAAAAATAAAAAAGTATCGCTCATATTTGTGGAGACAAAATCTGACTTGTTACTTTGCGAGTTTTGCGAGTGCCCAGCATGGCCAGTTGGTTAGGGCCCCGGCATGGCCAGGTGGTTTGGGCGCTCGACTCGCAGTCTGCAGGTCGCTGGTTCGAATCCCCGTCCCACCAAACATGCTTGCCCTTTCAGCCGTGGGGGCGTTATAATGTGACGGTCAATCCCACTATTCGTTGGCAAAAGAGTAGCCCAAGAGTTGTCGGTGGGTGGTGATGACTAGCTGCCTTCCCTCTAGTCTTACACTGCTAAATTATGGACGGTTAGCGCAGATAGCCCTCGTGTAGTTTTGCGCGAAATTCAAAAACAAACAATACTTTGCGAGATGCATAAGTGATATAAAAGACGGTAGTTTTAAAGGTTTCCTTCATTTATTCTTCACTGGTCTCATTAATGAATAACCAATAGTATCTTCAATTTGTCAGAAAGTAGAAGACGTCGGAAGTAAGTGTCTGGAAACAACCATTAACAACAACATGCTTGATTAAGGAGCAAGTTATGCAAATATAACAATAGAAGGCAAACAACGATTTATAAGCATAAGGAAAGGTTTTTTTTTATGGTGGATCATACTACATGTTTCGGCAGAACATCTTCTTCCGAAGAAGACAGACCACATCCAATTATGCCTAGCGCAGCCACTGTTGGAAAATTCGCCACTTTTATAACCATTTTTAAAAGAAGAAGACTGGTTATTTCTTTACGTGTGTGCTAAGAGTATTTATTTGTTTGTTTATAATTAAGCATAAAGCTACACAATGGGCTATCTGTGCTCTGCCCACCACTGGTATTGAAACCCGGCTTCTAGCGTTACTGAGAGTAGTTCCATGGATAAAGATGACTTGGTAAAGAATATACAAGACAGAAAAGTTGAAAGGACATTTAATCGATCACGAACATTTCGTTGACTTAAACGAATAAAAACAGGTTTGCCTACCTATTATTAACAGCAAAAGACTAGAATGTTGGTCTTTAAGTATACCTCATGAAATAACCGTTGTCACAGCTTTCTATACATTAAAAGCCAGTTTAATATAAGAAGTGTATAACCTCGTTTATCATGTTTAGTAGCTTATACGGTTACCCAAGCTTAGTTTTTAATAAGTTATTATTCTTTTATTACTAGGCACTAATTTCTAATTAATTTTATCATGCTGTTCGGCTGATAATTTTTATCAATATAAATTACCCCCAACAAGAACATTTTGAAGACAACAGCCACTTTAAGACCAAGGATTTGGCTCAGATGTTTTATGATAAATTTGTAGGATCTGGCTCAGCTGTTTTATGATACATTTGTAATATGACCACACATACAACATAATTATATTTCAGGATTCGTGAACCAATTGAACATACAACGAATATCGATAAACTTCATGATAAAAATAGAAGAGATGGTTATCTAGACATAACTCATATACAACAGGAGGTTACAGGAAACCCACAGTAACGGGTAAATACCACTATAATTCAAACTACTGCAGACTTGATAAACTGCCTAGGATTAAGAATGAACAAGAGCTGTAATACCAAGAAAGGTGATAAGATGGAATAAAAACACATCACTACAACCTTCCTTAACTACAGCTACCTGGAACATTGTATAAAGAAAAAATAAAGATAAACACCAAGAATAAGCAGGTGAAAACACAACCATATTACCCATGTTAGAGGTCTCTGTCTAAACATACAGAGGATATGCAAACAACATCAAGTTAAAACAACATTCATAAAACACAACACAATCACAGACCTATTGGTGAACCAAAACACCAGCTACAACGTCTCTCGTGAATGTAGACTCCAATACTGGAGAAAAAGCAAAACAAAACACTTCAATATTCGGGAGCAAAGTAGACACATAATACTTTTTGAAACTAATATATTTACAATAACCCATCATAGCAGAGAAGAAGACCATATAATACTTTGTAAATCGGGTCTATTTGAAACAACTCATCATAGCAGAGAAGACCATACAATAAAATGGAATGAAGCTGAAATAATGGGACATCAACTAGTAGGCACGAGATCTTCTTAATTTTGACGGGGGGTATTTTCATTTAGGTGAATGTAGAAGGCTTCTTTTCCTTCTACATTCACCTAAATGAAAATACCCTCCGTCAAAATTAATATAAAAGTAAGCAAAACCCGTATGGCCTTCTTGAATCCATTCAAGTAATTGATTAAAGGCAAACGAGTGAGATTTCGGATGAATGGATAACATACCATTATTTCTAGCAATAAAACTCTAGATGGTATTCCAGCCTCGGCCACCGCAAACAGTTTTTCTCAGGACTTCAATATGGCAGCAGATTAGCAACTGAAATTAAAATAATAAAATAGTAATAAGAAAGAAGGTGATTGTATAAGCTAATAACCATGAGAATGATTGATATTCGATCGCCCACAACCTTACTAAAAGTACTAAAGTTTACAACCTGTTTCACAGTACAAAATACAACAGCTTGTATAGCACCAATACAAATGTTTTCTTGCAACTTTTTCGTTGACTTAACGGTCAGCAGCCATCGGGAGGATGTACTCTTTGAGATTAATTCTTCACGCAAGAATGGAAAGACTTGTTTAACTTTAACAAGAAGTTATGTCCCTTGATTAACTTTAAAAAAGCCAATAATGGAGACTACCAATGTCATCGTACTCACGTGAAAAGGGAACAGTTATTTAAAAAACAATTAGGATCAGAAGATTAAAATATAGTAGGGCCACAGCTGACATAAATATTTGCATCTTAAAACCAAGTACACAAGCGAAGTGTTTGTCTTGTGTTCGTCTAATAGCCTTTAGCTTAGTTGATTGCTTTGTTGAAAAGTTAAGTGTTAATTAGCCATTTAATCTCAGTACCTGTTCCAATACTCACATATTTTCCCGTCTCTCCATGAGTGTTCCTGTGTCTAAAATATTGGTGCTATTCCGTTAAACCGCCGCAAATAGTACGTTTTTATTATATGAATACAATGCTTATTAATATATTTTTAGAAATTTATTATGAACATTTACTATTGAATAAAATGCATATTTATATATTTGTATTTATATGTATATATATATATTTATTTATTTATTTATACACTTATATATATTTATTTTTATAAGTTATTAAAATTGCGGGGGCATAACGGAAAAATGCCAGAACATTGAATAATAAAGTTTTCACATCAGTCACCCAGTTTTTGGAAAGCTTTAAGGTTTTCAACACACGTGTGGTTCTGTTTTACTTTCTTAACAGAATATCGTGGATGAAAGTAATCACAAACAATGTGCATGAAAGTTATTGAAACTCCACAAGTTTTTCGAAAGTTTTACGGTTTTCAACACACATGTGATTTTTCTTTTTTACTTTCTTAACAGAATATCGTTAGTAGTAGGGAACGGTCTTTTGGAAAAGTGGATTGAAGAAATGGTCTTGAATTACAAGTACTGTCTGAATCCAGAAGATGGCGACGTGAAACCACTTAAATTGAAAGATCTTGCAGGAGTCATCTTATTCCTCTTTGGTGGCTATTTGGTGTCGGCATTGGTCTGGATATGTGAGACACTATATTATCACCAAAGACAGGGACATATTCCCTAATTTGGCACTACATTATCGCCAAAGACAGGGACATACTCCCTAATCTTCTAAACATTAGTTAAGTCCATTAGTGCTTTATCAGTCAGTCCTGAAAATGTTATTATATTATTGTTCTAAAATATAGATGAGTTACTGTATATCATTTCGTAACAATTTAAATTACTATTATTTCTTGTATGATATTATGTAACAACATAACTATAAAGATTCGATAATGTTGTAGCATGCATGCTATTTGCACTTCATGGTAACAAATAAACTCAACATTGTATGTCTCCCGGTTTTCATCAAAGCCTTTTTGCATATTTTCTTGGCTCAAGTAAATAGTTACAAACTAAATTCTGAAATGCTTCAAAATTTTAACAGCTGAGCCCCAAGTCACACAGAAAACATTGTTGTCCTATATGTCAAAGTAAACTTTAATTATATTTTTATTAATTATTCTCGAAAGAGGGCAGCTGGCAGCATAATGTTTCAGCGTAACAACGTGTTAGATAATACAAATAACGAGGATTTACACAATAATTATCGCTTTATGTTATTCTTCTATCGACCAAGCACTTACACGTAACCTTGGTATCGTACCTAATGAAAAGATGGGGGTATGAAGGAGCAAAAGTCAAACATTTTGGAAATATACTTAAAGTTAACAGAAATCACATAAAATAAGTAATTTAGTAAGTCACTCAATAAAGTTTTACACAAATAATAGTGTAACAAAATGAACTTAAACGCAAACCTCTTTAAAGAACTGGTAAACAAATCTGACGACATAAGCCATAAACGCTGTAACATATAATTTAAAAATTCTCTATTTACAAAAATTAACAAGGCAGGAATAAAAAACGAAACCGAATATTTATATTCTTTGCGCAGTATATACGTCATCATGGCCAGTTGATTAGGGCGCTCGACTCGCGGGTTCGAATCCCCGTCCCACCAAACATGCTCGCCCTTTTAGCCGTGGGGGCGTTATAATGTGACGGTCAATCCCACTATTCGTTGGTAAAAAAGTAGCCCAAGAGATGGCGGTGGATGGTGATGACTAGCTGCCTTCCCTCTAGTCTTTCACTACTAAATTAGGGATGTCTAGCGCAGATAGCTCTCGTGTAGCTTTGCGCGAAATTCAAACAAACAAACAAACAATACGTCATCATTCACACTGATAAAGTTTTCAACAACTCTGTTTATATTTGTAAGCAAAACGTGTGTTATAACTTTATTGAAAAGCATAAGGGATCAATTTACAGACACTAGAACTTCGGATTAATACTAGAAATAAACGACCTTAGAACACCAAAATGTTTCTATTTAATTAGACACTCAACATTTTGCTTTATAACTTCTATAGGAGCATTCACTAAAACATAAACCGATAAGCTCGTTTATTTCTGGTATTAATATTAATATGTCTTCTATAAACCAATATACGCTACCGAAATTAACTAGAACCTTCAGGTAACAAGGTGTATAAAAAACGTTAAAACTGTTAAGTGTAATATAGAAACACGTTAATATTTTATCAGACTTTGGTACTCATTCTGAAAATTTTTATAATATAATAATTAAATTATTTTCGATTTACAAACTACATAAAACACAAATAAATAAAGGTTACCGATGGTAACAAACAACAAAAAACAAGAGGGAATCCTCAATAGCTGTGGCACTTGAAATTATATTAGGCAGGATTAGAGTAAATTAATCTATGAGACATTGGGCGTGGTCAAAAATACATCAATCGAAAGGGTTTGACCTCCTGAGTCAAAAACTGTAATTAGATCTCCAAACGGTCAAGAGATGACGGAGCTATGAGCTAAAAGGTTTGTACTTGAAAAAAACAAAAACAAACTCAGAGCCATACTCTGAGATGCTATGACGCAGCTTAAAAACAAAGACTAGAGAATTATTAAGTTGTTAAAGGTCTGAAATACATTGCAAAACATTTATACAAGTACTCTAACACTGTCATAGTAAGAACCAGTATTAATCAGTTCATTATCATCAACATCAGTTATTCCATTGATAGTAAAGCAGAAGATAAAGACTTTGGTGTAAAAACAATAGAAGCTTCTGATGGTAATAATCTTTACACCAGTTTTCTTATTGATAAAATTGAAGAGTTTTATCACCCCCCCCCCCCTAGTGGCATAGCGGCATGTCTGCGGACTTACAACGCTAGAAACCTGGTTCCGATACCCGTAGGGGGCAAAACATAGATAACCCATTGTGTAGCTTTGTGCTTAACTTCAAACAAACAAACTTTTATCACTAATTTGAAGATCCTTTAAGAATTAAGGTAAATTAGTGCTTTGCATCAGTAAACACAGATATTTCAATAAAAATGTCGCTCATAAAAATTGTCTTTTCTTTTTTCAAAGTAAATAAATTTTAGTAAGACATATTCTTACTTGACAACACATTCGGCCAACATGTTTTTCAGCGGTAAGTTTAGGGTAAGTTTACGGTGTTAAAATGCGAGTTCATTTCTCATGGACAGAGCGTAGATAACCCTTTGTGCTAAAACAGACACAATTTTTTTCAGCAAATAAAAGGAATCTCTATGTGGGGGAGGGGACCTCGTTCAGTCCATGAGTTGAATATTTATATTTATTCAAACTTTAATTTTCACACAAAACAAATTTTAGTAAGTACTATAATAAAGCCCCCCAGTGGCACAGCGGTATGTCTGCTGACATACAACACTAGAATCCGGGTTTCGATACCCTTAGTGTGCAGAGCACAGATAGCCCATTGTGTAACTTTGTGCTTAATTATAAACAAACTATAATAAAGTTTTTCATATCAGTCACTCTGCCAGATATATGGATCTTATTCATTTACCGAATTATAAACGTTTTCTAGATATTGCCAAACATATTTGCTTACTTGAAATCTCTCTGGAAAAACTCTTTTTACCTACAAACACAGCGCATTACCAGGATTTGGACGTAAGAATCATTAATAAAACGTTCAAGTTCTTAATAAAAGAGACACTTTTGATTGTGAACTTGGATATTCTCCAAATACAAACATCCAAAAAAAAAAAAAAAACATTACGTATTTTCACAAACGAAACTTCTCGTTTTGAACACCAAATTTATTCAATTTTGCTGTATGTTCAACAATCTTCTTGCGGCGGATTTTAATAAAAATTTTATGGAATATTTAGACCTTTCAAAATTAACTTCTTTCTTCTAAACTATAGTATTATGTCATTAATTTTGTCACCATAGTTTCTAATAGGCCTAAAACTTGTGACAAACATCCATGAACTGTAGATGTTTTTTTTTTCACATTCCTTTATCTCTTGTTGCCCACAAGTCAATGCTAAAATTCACCAATTGGGCTGGCCGATTAAAGACAAAATAAAACTCAAATGTACTTTTTACACACTTATGATTTGCAAAATGAAATGAACAATTTAAGAGAAAAATGCAAAAAACAAATATAGATTGCGTGATTTTTATCGCATTTCTTCAGTTTTCGGCCTTTAAACTGCAACTTTTAAACTACAATAGTTTCTGTTAAATTATTTTAATTTTCCCATTTATTATTGTTATTACTTATTATTATTGTGATATTTCAAGTATTTTACTATTGGTTATATATTTTGGATAATTATTACAGTTTGTTCTCTAGTGGGTTAGCAGTTGGTTTACCGAGGTTACAACGCTAAAATCCAATGTTTGACTCCCCTTGGTGGATAGAACCCAGATAGTCTATTGTGTAGCTTTGCGCTAAAACAAACAAACAATTTAGAGCTTAAAGTTATGTATTATTTTCGAATACGGTTTGTAAATTCGCTATATGTGTTAAAGTCGGAGTAGTGGTTGTGTTAGAAAAAGCTCATAGTATGTTTAGTAAGTTGTTCTTATTTTTACTAGATTTATCTTAGTTATTCTACTTATAGTTTAATATTTTTTGCTATTTATTGTAATATTTTATTATAATTTATTTAGTTTTGTTAATTTTTATTCTCATAAACATAAGTTTGTTATGCTGTAACATCCCGCTACCCCACTTTATAGCTATAAGTATAATATTTCGTAGCAGTTTATCTCAGATGTTAAGAGCCGTTTTATTGATCACGCACTAGATGTTATTAGGGAGGATTACATAAAGGTTTTTATACTGAATACTCGTGCCACGCTTTTCAAGAGGATTGGTCAGGGAATCTGTGATAATGCGTGAAGCAAATATTAGGGGTACCGGAAGGTAATGTCGTTCTTTTTTTCTCTTTATACAGTAAAAGATCTCTTTTAAGTAAGTATTTATTTTTCAGTCAGTTACCTTGTTTTCCATTATTATTAATGACAGTGTATCATCTTTCAATTCCCGTTGATGGAAGGAAGCTTCCTTTTGAGACAAAGAATTCTGCGAGAGCAATTTTAATGCCATCAATATTTCTGAAGGTTTTTATCGCTGAGGAATTGCTGAATAAATCTGAATAAATGGTAATCTGGAGGGGCAATGTCGGGAGTGTATGAAGGATGAGGTAGGACTTCTCAATTCAAATATCTGATTTTACTGTGAGTCATTCTTTCAGAATGTGATCTCGCATTGTCATGCTGCAGAACGACCCCTTTTCTGTTGATCAGTGATGGCATTTTTCAATAATAGCCTGGTGCAAAAGGTCCAATTGTTGATAATAAAGGTCTGTAATTATAGTCTGATTCGATTTCAATAACTCAAAGTGAATTCTGCCGACTCTGTCCCATCAAACGGACAATAAGACTTTCTGTGGGTGTAGACCTGCTTTGGCTGTCGTAATTGGGCTCGGGCCAGAGCTAAGACACTGATTTTTGCGCTTGGTGTTGACATAAAGAACCCATTTATCATCTTCTGTAACAATCCGACGAAGAAATTGTTCCTTCTCATTTCTGGTTATCAAAGAATCGCAAATTGTTATGAACTGGGCTTTGTTGTCATCTGACAGTTTGTGT